TTAACTTTGCAGTTAATATATCCTCATCTGAGTGCTGATTGCTGATGGGGAGATGGCTCGTTGATTGTCTCTTTTGCATAGTACATAGAATAGATAATGTTTATGTCTATGTATCCATTGATGGCTAATTTGTTAGAGTGCCAAGCTTCTAGCATTTTTTGACTTGGCTTGGTCTAGGATCTAGATAAAACTATGGTTAAGTCTGTCCATATGTTATGAAATTAAAGAGTTTTCAACATGTCTTCTGATTACTAGTTGATGTTCATGAATGCATTCTGCCGGTCTTTTCCTGTTTGTCCTACGTAGTGGCTGTTGTGGTCATTACACTCTATGTTGTAGATGACAGCAAACCCCACTCCTTACTAGAAGTGATGATGTTATCTAGTTTGGGTAATGAAACATCTGCAAAAAAAAAACACAACCAAGCTCAGAGAGCACTAAGGACCCCTCATTTCAACCCTGAACTTCAAACAGTTACTAACAGTTTTTAAAGTACCAGTCCCAAATCAGATGCGTGGAAAGAATAACCTGCCTTGCCAATAGGGATGCATGATATTCCTTTTGACTGTTTCCTGTTCATTAATCAACAGTTTATAGGACAACAGTTTCATGTCCCACCGTTTTTAGGTTAGCTTGGGAGCTTTTGGTATATAATTCCTGTCATAATTAAATATGACAAATTTTATAACTTGCTTCTCAAAATGTAGATCTCATAGGCTGTGAGCTAACATATTTTGTAGCTGGAATAAAATTATGAATTGTAGTTAGCAGTCTGAGGAAGGTGGTTGCAAATGGTCAATCTGAATGACTTGCATATGTGTCCTTAGGTGCTGTGACGTGTATGTGGATGAATGACCAGTGCAGCAGTATAATTACTGGAGGAGAAGACAGACGAATCGTGTTCTGGAAGCAACAATATTAAGTGCTTTTTCTCTGATATCTCAATCCTTAATATTTTAAACCAGAATTTTAAAAGGACCTTGCCTAAATGTAAAAATGCTTTCTATGGTTCAGACAGAACTTCTGGTCTCCTTCCCCCCCCCCCCCCCCCCCCCCCC